TATTAATTTTTAATTTTCTTAGATTATAATAGGTGTTTTTTAAATCAAATTTTAATATTCATTAACAAATATTTATGGAATGCTACTGTGTTTTAGAACCTGTGCTTTCTGAATTTTATTTATTTGAGAGAAAGAGAGAGAGAACCAGCGAGGCAGGGGTAGAGAGAGGGGGGGACAGAAGATCTGAAGTGGGGTATACGCTGACAGCAGAGAGCCTGATGCCGGGTTTCAACTCATGAACCGTGAGATAATGATCTGAGACAGAGTCGGTAGCTTAACCAACAGGACCACCCAGGTGCCCAGAAGCTGTGCTTTCTCTCAAAAATCTTTTAGGCACCCTCCTTGTACTCCCCTACCTCACCACCACTATACTTCTTTCCTGCCCTCCTGGATAGCCTGATATATCTCTTGGTTGCTGGCTGAAAATCAGGAGTTATTAATCTGGGGTCCAGAGACCCTGACCTGGGATGTTCTTGAAACTTGCTAATGATTTAGGCAAAGTTATATGTGTGTGTGCTTATGTTTATATACTTTGTTTTCTGAAAAGAGGTTACAGAGTTTGTGATGTTACCAATTGAAGATTAGACAATGGGAAAATGGGATTTTATTTTTATTTATTTTTAAGAAGACTTTATTTTTAAAAATTATTCAGTAGGAAACTTTTCTGTGCTATGTCCATGAAATGAAGAATATCTATTTTTAATCAGAAAGTGCTAAATAGTATTGGTGCCCTTTGCCAAAATGAAGAATATTATAGGTGACCTTGAACACCTCAGGGGTTAAGGGTGCTGACACTCTCACCCTCCATGCAGTTGAAAATCCTCATATATCTTTTGACTCCCCTAACACTACTAGTAACCTACTATTGACCAGCAGCCTCACTGATAACATAAACAGTTGACTAACACATATTTTGTATGTTATATTGTATAATTATTTATAAATATGTATAATTTATACTGTACTCTTAACAATTAAAGTAAGTTAAAGAAAAGGTTATTAAGAATCTAGTTACAAGGAAGAGAAAAACACATTTATAGTACTGTATTTACTGAAAAAAAATCTGTGTATAAACGGACATGCATAGTTCACACCCATGTCATTCAAATGGTTAACTGTAAATAAACATGCTAAAGTATAAAGAATACTGTATTTGGTTATTTTGATTTACAGATTAAAGAGACTGTGATAAATGGATTGGAAAACATGGGAGGTAAGATGAATGTGGGTTTATTTATTGCATGCATGAGCACTTAGCACAAATATTCCCTTTTTTCCTTTAATTCTACTTCTCTGGGATTTTTTCTTTTTAAATCATTTCTTTCTTTCCTGTAAAACCATCCTGCATGTTTACTTAAATAGATTAATGAAACTTCATTAAAGTTCATCTTAGTGGTATTTAAGAAAGTATTGTTTTCACATTTCAGGTCATCAATTAAGTGTTTCTTTGATTGTGAAACAAGTTATGAAACAAATATAAGTGGGGAGTCTGCGTGGCTCAGTCGGTTAAGTGTCTGACTTTGGCTTAGGTCATGATCTCATGGTTCATGGGTTTGAGCCCTGCATTGGGCTCTGTGCTGACAGCTAGCTCAGAGCTTGGAGCCTATTTCAGATTCTGTGTCTCCCTCTCTCTCTGACCCTCCCCTGCTCACGCTGTCTCTGACTCTCAAAAATAAATTAAAAAAAACTAAAAAAATTTTTTTTTAATTTTTAAAAAAGAAACATAAAAGTATCATGAAAGTCATTTAGCTTCTAGGTAACTCAGATTGAATGGTTCTAAGGCATCATAAGATTATATTAAACAGATTTTCAGTATTTAAGGTTTTTTTGGCCTAACCTACACAGATGTCAACATTCTTTTGTCTGTTTCAAATGAAAGAGATTAGATCAAACTGATTTTTCTTTACCTTTTTAGGAAAAAATATCTAATACATTTGGTCAATATGTTTACTAAACAGAACTATACATTTTACTCATTTTCCTGGCATAACAGATGCTTATTTTATTTAGTAAAACTTTATGGCTAGATTTCTATTATTGTTAATTTTAAAAAATATTTATTTATTTATTTATTTATTTTTTATTTTTTAAATGTTTTATTTATTTCTAGGAGAGAGACAGCATGAGTAGGGGAGGGTCAGAGAGAGAGGGAGTCACAGACTCTGAAACAGGCTCCAGGCTCAGAGCTGGCAGTCAGCACAGAGCCCGACGCGGGGCTCGAACCCACGAACCGTGAGACCATGACCTAAGCGAAAGTCGGACGCTTAACCAACTAAGCCACCCAGGTGCCCCAATATTTATTTATTTTTGAGAGACAGAGACACAGAGCGTGAGCAGGGTAGGGCAGAGAGAGAGGGAGACAGAATCTGAAACAGGCTCCAGGCTCTGAGCTGTCAGCCCAGAGCCTGACGCGGGGCTCGAACTCACGATCCATGAGATCATGACCTGAGCTGAAGTCAGATACTTAACCGACTGAGCCACCCATGTGCCCCAGATTTCTATTATTTTTAATAGTAATTGAAAAATTGTTTTTGCTGACATTTTATCCTCATACTTATTTGCTTCTAGTCTTCAGATTCTGTAAACAGTGAACACTGAGGTAGATACCAATTAAACATTTCTAGTTTGGGTAAAAACACATTTTTAAGTTGTAAATTGAATTAGTTTAGTGGCTTTGCCAATATTTCACTTTAGGTTCTTTCATGAAAAGTTCCTTCTATTAAAATCATTGAATAAATTATTCAAATTAATTGCATGTGTTTGACCTACTGATAAACATGTATGATAGTGACATTTAGGTTTTCATATAACCTATTTTTTTTTTCTTTCTAGTTGCATTCCAGTCCATGATGACAGGAGGTAATATCGGAAAGCAGATAGTTTGCATTTCAGAAGAAACCTCTTTGTAACATGCATAAGCAGTTTCATCAAGGAAATACACAGATTTCATTTTTAAGAAATTTATAAAAAAAATCTTAGAGTACAGATAGCTTTTTTTAATTTTGATTTTTTGAGAGATAGAGACAGAGGGTGAGTGGGGAGGGGCAGACAGAGAGGGGGACACAATGCAAAGCAGGCTCCAGGCTCTGAGCTGTCAGTATCAGAGCCCAATGCAGGGCTCAAACCCATAAACCATGAGATCATGACCTGAGCTGAAGTTGGACGCATAACTGACAAAGACACCCAGGGACCCTGAGTACAGATAGCCTTTAATTTGAATGTGATCATAGGTAATATTTTCTAGTTGGATAATATTTTTCCCTTTATGGTCAATATTATATATGTTCTCCGATTCTGACATGAGTATTTACAGTAATAGATTGAAGTCAACATGACCTCACCCTGTGTCACACTTTCTGTGTTGATAGCATGGAGCCTCTTTGGGATTCTCTCCCTCTTTCTCTCAAGAAGAAAAAAAAAATAGAATGCTTGAGAAGATACATTGTAAATGTATGTTGATCTGGAAATGCTTTACGTAATTCTTGAACTGTAACTTGGTGTCAGAATAGAAGAGGGATAGCCTTTCCCTATGGAGATGGAGATGGCAGGGGTTTTGGGGGGAATTTAGGGCTTGTGGAGCAGTTTTTAGGATAGGAGAGCAAAAGCTTTGTGTTGAGAAGATAAATAACTGAGGTCAATTAGGTCGATTGAGACACCAGTTTACTACAGAGGATGATCTATTTGTGTTTTGCAAAATAGTTTACTGTATAGTCTTAAAAACACATATATTGATAAAAGTTGTTTGCTTTTGGTTAGTAGGCACACACTCATATAGTGTAAAGATTTCGAGGGCAAATAGATATAAACATCACTTGAAGTTTTAGGTGATTAGAAAGATTAAGACAATAAAGATAGTTTTAGCAAAGACAGGACTTAAAAAGAAAATGACAGGACTGGACAAATTAACAGATGGTTGAAAACATGAATGTTCAAGATCTATTAATGAACCTCTAAATAAGAGGGTTTGTTTCATCAATTCAATCAAACATTTACAATAATAAAATTGAGGCTATTTTTCTGTGTTGTGCTGGTTTATGGACACCTGTGTACACCCTGCAATATACTTTTGTCTATAATATTTGTACAAAGCAGATTGAAATTCTGTTAGTAATCAATTACTCCAGTTGACCTCAGTGTTCTTTTTTTTTTTTTTTTTTTTAATTTATATACCTTTCCTGGAACATTTCATCTCCAGAAATGTCTGTATGTTGATAACTCCCAAATCTACATCTCTATTTCTAACCTTTTACTTGAGCTGGGGACCTCCAAATAAAATATTCTTTTGACACCTGTAATAAATTCTGTTTATCTAAAGAGGAATTAACCTTCCTCTTACATGTTTCTACTTTGTTTTTAAATCACCATCATTTGTGCACCCAAACTGCTACTCCCTTACCCATTCAGGTTCCTGTCATCAAATCAAGGCTTGTGTTTAACCTTGAAAATGCCTTTTTAAACATTTTTTTAAATGTTTTACTTATTTTTGAGAGAGGAAAATGCCTTTCTTAGAGAACTCTTTTAATTCCCAGACCACGATCTTAATTGAGTTCCTCCTCCTTTGGTACGCAGCAAGTACTCAAAAATTAATAATTTCAGAGTCTGTCAACCGCACAAAGCTCTAACAAGTGGCGTCCAGCCTTGAACTCAAGTGTTCTAGTCCCCGGTGTGCGTATCCGACAGCTCTTTCCGTCCTAATATAGGGAACCCAGACTCTGGGGAATTCATATTACGAGAAAAGTTACACACCTTAGTCTCAATTCTACCCCGTCCCGCATGGAATGCAGGACCGGATTCTGCAAGTTCCCTTCTAAGGCAGTGAAGCTTTGAGGTCCTCTTCACTGAGAACTTTTATAAATGTTTAAGTAGGGCTCTCTTCCTCGCTTGCCTCCCTCGTAACTAGTTCTGATCTCAGCTGACAGGAAAAACTACCCCTTCTGCTGCTGCAAGGAAGCAATGACGTCACGGCTGGCACGGACTGACCCCGTTTCTCGGGTTTCGTAGACCACGGGGCCCCAAGGTCGGGAATGAATAGGAGCGGAGAGACCGCAGCTCCTCGCGTCCGGGAGCACAGCCCTGCGCTGACAGCCCGGCACCCGCCCGCTATCTGCGCCTCGACGGGACCCTCACACCGCGCGGCCGCTGTCCAGCCTGGGGCGAGCCAGTGGGTGTGAGCGTTGGGGGCTGGCCAAACTTCCTGTCCCGCGCTGCCGCTGCTTCCGGCGGGAGCCGGAAGACGCTGTGTGTGGACGGAATTCGGGACCGACTGACGGCTAGCCGGCTGCCCGGGAAAGGAAGGTGAGCTCGGGGTTGGGCCAGGCCACACCCGCGCAGCTAGGTGGTCTCCGAAAGGGAGAGAGCCAGTATCGGTCCCCCGGGGGCTCGGGCCGAGTTCGACTCCGGAGAGGACTGGGAAACCGCCCCCCTTGGGCACCCCTCCCTTATCTGGCGGGCCCGGGAGCGGCCGGTTTGAAGCCCTACGGCTTTGGCCCTTCGCCTCGGGGCGTTTTGGGGCCGTTGTTTCGACTCCTTTGCTTGGTTGTGGGGGCGGGGCTTGGGGACCTGACGGTCCTGAGAAAGCTGGAGCCAGCGAGTCCCTAGGGCAGGGGCTCCTGGACGGCACCCGCAGCCGGGCCCTGCCCGCGGGCTTGGGGCCTTACACTGAGGCCGTTGCGGTGGGGGCAGAAAGGATGCCGAGAAGACTCTGCCTTCGAGATTTCTAACCCAGAGCTACCTCTTGTTTCATATGTGCACTTACTTTCTGGGTGTTAGAAGACGGAAGGCTGCCGGCTCTGAGGGGCTTTGGCTGCTAGCTGCTTCTTCGCCTGTCATTTTAAGCCGAGGCTGTGGGCTGTGGGTGTTTACAGTCTTGGAGGCATTCGTAGGTTGTTTCTCCTCCGACGTTTCTTCAGAGAAAAGAATGCATTTCTTCTGTTAAAGTTTATCCCACGAGGCTTTGACATGCATTTAGGCACCATTTGGAAGTTAAATATTACTGACTTGGGACTTAAGAATTTGTACTTCTTCTCTTTGGCCCATGGATCAATGCAACATATTTGCGAAGTGGATAAAAGAAACATTTTTAAATAGTGGCATCTGTTGTTATGGAGTGAGAAATTTCACCTGTTTTATCTTAGTATGGACAGAGTAAAGTCAGCTAAACAGAAGATTTAGGTTCTGGTTTTTAAAAATTCTGCATTTAAGTAGATGTCTGATTTTTGCCAAGTTACTTAATCTCTAGCTTTTTTTCTTTCTTTGTAGATGAAGAGGGTTACCTCATTATTAAGCAGATATTTCCTGAATGCTTAGTTTGTGCAAAGCATCATACTAAGTTAATGAGAGTAGAAAGAATAAATTCAATGACTTTAACCAGTAAGAAAGGTATACATTCAGACAACAGCCTAGGCAGGATAGAATCATTACTAAAATGCGGTGAAATAGTGTGTTGTGACAGCACTACAGAAAGGACAGATTTGTTCTCACTGGAGGGAAGGGATCAGAGTCTTAGTGGAGGATGGCATTTGAGTTTGGATATTAAAGACTGGAAAGGAGGGGCACCTGGGTGACTCAGTCGGCTAAGTGTACAGCTCTTGATTTTCAACGATCTCACTGTTGGTGGGATGGAGCCCCTTGTTAAGCTCTGTGCTGTCAGTGGGGAGCCTGCTTGAGATTCTCTCTCCTCTCTCTGCCCCTTCCCCTGTTCAGAAACACACACACACACACACACACACACACACTCACACACACTCACACTCTCTCTCTCAAAATAAATAAACAAGCATTTAAAAAGGTGGGGAAAAAAGTCTGGAAAGGATTTCAAAAAATCACAACTGGATAGGGAGTGTTTATTATTGGTTGAAGAACTATTCTTAGCAAAGATGTTGAGCACTGAAATAGGCTCGTGTGTTCATTCAATAGTCCATGTGGGTTGGAGTAAAGGGTTAATTGAAGAATATGGATATGCTGTAACTGAAACAGTATTTGAAGATAGATTGTAAAATATTTGAAATGCCATACTTCAGGATTTGATTAATATTCTGAGGCACTGGATTTTTAGTGTGTGGAGTAACAAGCATTTCTGTGTTTTGGAAAGATAATTCGAGTGGCTGCGTGGAAAGATGGGTTGAGAAGGGAAATTTTGGGGCACCTAAGCTGCTAGGTCAGTTGACTGTTGGTTTTGGCTCAAGTCATGATATCATGGTTGGTGGGATTGAGTCCTACTGTTTGGGATTCTCTCTCTCCTCCTCCCCTGCTTTCTTTTTCTCTCTCAAAAATAAATAAACTTAAAAAAATGAAAAAGGGGAATTAGGAGTCTGTTTTAATAGTGTAGTTGAAAGATAATGAAGCCTAAACAGGGCATTACAGGAGGAATAAATTTGGGGGATTAGAACTACTGGGATTATTTAAATATGGAAGATGAGAGACATAGTTGAAGATGTAGAATTTATGGCTGAGTGGGAAGAAGATTGGGCAATAATTGAAACGGATAATATAGGAGGAAGAACAGGTTTGGTGGTGGAGACAATTATCTGAAGTTTGGACATTGTTAGGTTTGAAATGGATATCTATGTGGAGATACCCAGCAAGCAGTTAGAAATGAAAATTTGGAGTTTAGGAGAGAGATCAGGAATAGAGGCAGATATTTTGGTGTTATATCCAAGTCATTCATTCATTGTACAGGTATTTATTCAGTGCCTACTAAGTGTTTGCAGGGAAATTTGTATGAAAGCCCTTTAATCTCATAGTAAAGACAGCCTTGGAGCTTCACAGTATCAGAAATGACTCTTGGAGACCTAAATTCCTTCTATATTGCATATAGTACTTTGCCTGGCACTGTACTAGGTAGTAGAAGGTAAAGTTATAAACAAGACAGACTAGTTCCTGCTCTTGTTTATGGAGCTTACAATTTAGGGGAGTAGCCAGACCAAAAAAAAAAAAAAAAGGAATACTGTATAAAAACAAAGGAATTAGAAGCAGCAGAAAGATGGGAGTGTGGGGAATCTTCTTTGGATAAGGTGATCAGGCAAAGGCTTTATAAATGAGTTGAGAGTTAGAGCCCAGAAGAGTGAAAAAGAGGTAACTAATGAAGCGAGAGGTGAAAACATTCCAAGGTAGAGGAAAAGACGTGTGCACATCCCTAACATCAGAAAGAGCTTAATGTGTTCAAGGAACTAACATGGCTGGAGCTGGGTGAGCAAGTAAGGGAGAGTGATTCGAGTGTGGTTGGAAGAGCAGGAATGGATCACCTAGGTTCTTACATGCCAGGATAAGGAGTTTGAATTTTATGCTGGTGCATTGGGAAGCCACGTACAGAGTTTCAAGCAGGTGAGTGATATAATTGGACTCATGTTTTAATTTTTAAAAACATTTTTATTTATTTTTGAGAGACAGAGCATGAGCAGGGGAGGGGCAGAGAGAGAGAGGGAGACAGAATCTGAAGCAGCCTCCAGGCTCTGAGCTGTCAGCACAGAGCCTGAAGCGGGGCCTGAACCCACCACCATGAGATCAGGACTTGAGCTGAAGTTGGACGCTTAACTGACTGAGCTACCCAGGTGCCCCTACAATGATATTTACTACTGTAAAGAGAATAGAATGGAGGTAGGCAAGAATAGAAACAGGGAGACCAGTCAGCTGGCACTAACAGTAGTTTAGGGCAGGTGTGAATAGTGGCCTGAAATAGGGTGGTGGATAGAAGTAGGTGGATTTGTTATCTTAGTGGGACTTGCAGCTGGTCTGGATATTGCCAAAGGAAAGAAAGTAATAAAAATGACTCCTAAATGGGGTGCATAGTGGTCCTGTCTTAAGTGGAGCGTTGTGGTGAGTGGAACTGGCAGGACATGAGTAGGAAACAGGCTTGAGAGAGAATTCATTTTAGACACATTAGAGATACTAAGTTAAAACATTAAGTACAGATGTCAAGTAAGCAATTTTATATGCAGGTCTGCAGCTCAGGGGACATATCTTGGCTACAGACAAAAACTTTGGTGATTGGGGCGCCTGGGTGGCTCAGTCGGTTAAGCGTCCGACTTCGGCTCAGGTCATGATCTCGCGGTTCGTGGGTTCGAGCCCCGCGTCAGGCTCTGTGCTGACAGCTAGCTCAGAGCCTGGAGCCTGTTTCGGATTCTGTGTCTCCCTCTTTCTCTGACCCTCCCTGGCTCACGCTGTCTCTCTCTGTCTCTCTCTGTCTCTCTCTCAAAAAAACACCTGGTGTTGTAATGAATTGTTGGATCACTGTATTCACTGTATTGTATACCTGAAACTAATATTATACTGTATGTTACCTTGTTGGAGTTTAAATAAAAACTTAAAAAAATTTTGGAGACTATCATTTAAAGCCATAAGTTTATACTAGGAGGAGAGTGTAGCAAGAGGAGAGGTCCTGAATACTGTCCTGAGGAATATTAATATTTAGAGGCTGCATGCAGGAAGAGTATAGAAGTTACCAAAAGACGGACACCTGGGTGGCTCAGTCAGTTAAGCATACAATTTTGGATTAGATCATGATCTCACAGTGAGCTCGAGACCTACATTGGGCTTTTTGCTGACAGTGCAGAACCTGCTTGGAATTCTCTCTCTCTCTCTTCCTCCCTCCCTGTCTCGCTCTCACTCTCACTCTTACTCTTTCAAAGTAAATAAGTAAACTTAACAAAAAGGTTACCAAAGGAAACTGGAAGAATGGCAATGACATAAGAGTAAAGTGAGGGACATGTATCTTGGAAGCAAAGAGAGTAAAGTTTGAGGAAGGAGGCAGTGTTTCTAAGGGATAATACTAGTTGTGTCTCTGGTTGCAAGTAACCAGTTTGCTTCGGAAGAAGAATTTATAACAAGGTTGTGGGCAGCTGATAGGATCAAAGGAAATGATGAAGACCTTGGCTTCATAAAGGACAGGAATCTGAGCAGCCCCACGGGAGGCTGCTAGCTGCATTACTGGGGAATGAGCAGTTTTCAGCCCTTTGTTATTTCTTTCAGAATTCACATTCTGAGGAAAAGTGTCTCAGTGTGGGTCAAGTGTCCAACAGTTGGTCAGTGAAGGAAAGAACACCTTACTCTATAGTCTCACGGAAGATGTATCCAGTGAGGGAGGGGTTATATCCCAAACACAATATTCTGTCGCCTAAATGGGAGATGCATGTCGGACAATTAAAAACAATAGTTGTTCATTGCAAAGGTCAAGTAAGATTAGGACTGCAAAGTGTCTATTGGGTTTGGTAACATGAAGATCTTTGGTACCCTTTACAAGAGAAATTTTGGTGAAGTCTTGGGATTGAGTAATGACTGGAGATGAAAAAGTGAAGACA